CAGAATATATATATATATAAATATAAAAGAAGTCCTGACATTCCGTATGATGGCGGGTGTTGTATAGTGCACGTGTGTGACTGGACGGGGTGTGCCATCTGCACACCCACTTACAATCAGATACGGGATCTGAATTCTTTTAATAGAGATCGACGATGAACAAGGGCATACCAAGTGGTCCTAGAGGTGTATGCTGGATGATTTGGGTTCAAGGTCTGTACAAGACCATACCCATGAGGTTGCTATCTCCCCCAGATGCAGCATAGTCAGTGGCAAAAATATAATGATGGAACCAACACAGGCATCTAGTTCGGATGCACCCACCCACGTATACGTACAAAAGCTATTCTGGCCATCCTTGCAAGTGCATGCGATACCGAAGGACTGTGGGAGCAGTTCTCCGAAGAACCCGACTAAAATAAAAACCCCAAAAAATAATCAAAAAATTGTCCCTTACCTACATCGTCTCCTCCAAAACCCCAATCATCATCATCAGCCGCCTCAGCCGTAGTGTCGTCACCAAAATCTCCGAAATCGTCGAAATCGCCAAAATCATCATTAGCGTCCGCATTATTACCATTACCATCATCGTCAAAGTCCCCGTCATCGCCGAAATCATCGTCTGCTTTGCTTTTTTCGTGGTCAGATCCAAATGCGTTAAACTTATCATTTGTATCTTCATTTTCATCATCCCAGAGACCACCACCTTCTTCAGGTTTATCAATGTCAGAGCCAAATGCGTCGAAATCAGCATTTGTATCCTCATTTGCAGCAACCTCAAAACCATCGTCTTCCTTGGTTTTTTCGTGGTCAAATCCAAATGCGTTAAAATTATCATTTGTATCCTCCTTTTCATCATCCCAGAGACCACCGCCTTCTTCAGGTTTGTCATTGTCCGATCCAAATGCGTTGAAATCATCTTCATCGTCTTCGACAGCCGGCTTGTCCTGAATTTTGGACTCCACGGTCCTCTCAGTTTGGGACGGGATAGCCGCTGCTTTGGTGCCTTGGGATGACACCTCCGCGTCGGCTGAATTCACCTGTTGCTCAGCAAAGTCGCCAAACCCGTCGCGTACCCCTCCATTTGCACCGCCATCAAAACCATCGAACGCCCCGAAATCGTCGGGTGTCTCCCCATTCGCTTCAGGGCCTTTAATCTCCTCAGTATTGGACCCAAACGCACCGAATCCATCGTCGCTCTCTTTACCAATAGCCTTGTCCGGCACCTCGGACTCCGAGATACCGCCAGCCGAGTCTTGATCAACTACTTCTCCATTGCTTGCAGGCGTCTCCTCACTATTCACCTCGATTGTCTGCTTCCGTACTTCCGTGCTATGCTCAGCGACAGCACTGAAATCATTGTTTACCTCCGCCTTCGCCCTACTACCAGCATCGTCGAAGGTTCGTAAATCGTCAATAACTTCACTCGTTGCATCGTATCCGAAGCCATCTACTCCCCTATCCGTATCGGTATCAGATCCAAACGCATTGAACTCTGCGTTGCTGTCTTTATCAGTGGGATTGTCCGTAC